TCTTCTGCTGTCCTTCTTGCCCTCCGCCCCCTTTCCCTTGGGCCATCCCTGCTGCCCCCCGGGATCCCCGCTGGGTCCCCCCCAGCCTCCCTGCAATGACGGCTTTCAGGGGCTGGCTGCTCTGCGGGAAGGTGTGCTGCCCTCGCACCCCTCGGTGTGTTGGGGATGCAGCTCGGGGTGGTGCAGCATCTTTGGGTACCAGCTCCGGGGCTTCCCAGTTAAAGCCCCTCAGTGAGCAGGGATCAGAGGAAGGCCACTTCCACATCCCTCGCTGGCCGCCTTCCTCCACGCACAGCTCCCCAAAACTAGGTGTCGAGGGCAGCCCCTTGCCTTTCCTGGCTTGCCCCGGCTATTCCCACGTGGACCCTGCACGCCTCCACTCTGCCGGTGCAGAGGCCGGGGATGCTCCTGCCGCGGGTGCCACAACACCCTGCACCCCAGCAAGGGTGGGCAGAGCCCGGCTGCCGCCCCTCGCCAGCCTGCCCAGCTGGAGGCTGCTCGGGAGTCGTTAAGGTGCTCCAATCCAGCTTTGCTCCATGCTTGATGAAGCCCTGCGGGAAGGAGGAGGGATGAGGTGGGGGGCCAGCCCCCTTTGGCCAGATCCTGCGATACAGGGGGAACTGATTCATGCTGCGTTAGAGAGAAATGAGTGGGCAAATACAAGGTTGTTGGGGTGTGACCGAGGCATTTGTGTAGCTAAATGATGCTGCAGGAGCTCATCGAGGGGTGTGTGGGTCACGGGCTGGAGGGGCAGGGGGTCGCGGGGATGAGGGATGCTCGCTGGGGTGGGGAGCAGAAGAGTGCTGGCGTGCACAGCAGCCCTGAACCCCCGGTACCCCCGGCACCCCCGGCGTAGGTGGGCGGCTCAGCTGTGCTGATGGGGCTGGGGTGGGGGGTCACGCAGGTGTCCCTCGGCAGGGCTTTTAAGCTCCGCAGGGAAGAGCTGGGACTTCTTGGGGCTGGTTTGGGCTCTCTCCAAGGGCGCAGGAGCTGAGAGGAAGGCTTGGGCTGCGATCACCAACAAGCCAAGGCGTTTCCAGTGTTTTGAACGTCCCTAGGTAACAAATTTGTTTCACCTCCCGTTCCCCAGAGCCAGGCAGCATCCTCCTCCTGTGGGGCTCTGGGTCTGGTCCCTGGCTCTTTCCCGGCCCTGGTGGGGGCCAAACGTCTGCTGCCAGGGTGGGTGATGCTGGCAGGGAGAAAGGAGGTTGCAGCAAGGCAAGGGGGTGTACCTCCCACCCTGGGGGGGAAGCACCCTGCCCACCGCAGGTAGGTCTGGCTGGAGGCACAGTTACTGCCTATCAGTGAATTATTGATTGGAGTTACCGCTACAGCTCTGACAACACCATTACTGGCTTTGACTTCATGTTTAAATCATCACTCCAATAGCTCTGAAAGATGCAATCTTTTATTTAAAATGCACTCGGTGGCTCTTTCTGATCCCCTGGCTCGGGTGTGCTGCTGGTGGGGGACTGGGGAGGGGTAGCTCGAAGCAGCACAGCAGGGGAGGGGAGGGAGTGGCGGGGGGGGGGCCGGGGGGGGGGGCAAGAGGGGATTCAGGGATGCTTACGGTCACTTGTGACCGATGTCCCTTCCCCGGGAGCTGTGCAAACAGGCAGGGGCTGGGTGCTGGGGGGCCATGCTGTGTTTGGGAGGGGGTGGCTCTGAGCCAAGCATCCAGGCAGGCTCCGAGGGGCCCTGCCCTGCTCAACCCCAGCTTTCCTCGTCCGAGCTCACAGGGCAGCTGGGGCTTTGTGGTCTGCATCAGGGGCTGGGGCTGTCTCCCCGTGCCTTGCTTCTCCTCGCTGGGAAATGGGAGTTGCGTGGTGCCCAGGACAGCACGGGGCAAGGCTGGGTAGTGGGTGAGGGAGGTCCCTTGCAGCCTGGACAGGCAGCTTTGTGCTGGATTTCTGCATCAGGTGCTAGCTGTGCCTTCGCTGCCAGCTCTCTTGCTCCAAGAGAGGTTGTGCAAGACGCAGCAGGGATGGCGATCTTAGCTGACAAGAGCCATGGCCCCTTTCCCTCTCCCATCTCACTCTGGCCCCACCAGAACGCAGGAGCCTCTCCTTCACCGAGGGTGGGGGAAAACAAACTTTCATCTTTCACGCTTGAGATCAGGTGAAAGACTGCAGATAACGGGAGGGGAAGAGCTGCAGAGGCTGTGCCGTCCCCTCAGTGCTGCTCCTGCCCTCGGCTTCACCTTCAGCTCTAGCCCTGCATCCCTGCAGCTGATGGAGCAAGCAGTGAGCATCTCTGGTGCTGTGGGCCCCCAACCTGTCCCCATTTTGCTCTCCTACACAGCCCCTGGCCATTGCTATCCCTGTCCCCTGTGCCTCCCCGGCTCCTTGCCCAGGAGATGCCAGATGCTGCCCCTGCCCTGTGCCTTCATGGCTCCTCTCCGCTGTGACCTGGCTCTGGGATGTGCAGGGCAGCCGCTGCTGCTCCGGGGCTGCAGGTTTGGGGGGGCACAGCAATGGGGGTAGCAGCCTGTCAGGCTGAAATTCACCCCATGACAAGCTGTGGGGCTCTTTGGGACACCCCATGCCATCCCCTGCCTGGGAGGCGGGCAGGCGGCTACTGTGCTCACCCCAGCAGGACGGCAGGGCTGTCTGCAGCCTGCTGTCGAGGCAGTCCCCGTTGTGGTTTTTATCAGCATTACCATCCAATATCCCCTGGCAGCTTTGTCTTTGCTTTACATTTATCAATATTACCAGCTGATCCTCTGGTCCCCCTCTGCGGGTTTATTAATATTGCCCTCTGATCTGCGGGAAGCAGCCACGCTTTATATTCCAGCCCCATCCCCAGCTCCTCCAAGCCCCGACGCCATGTTTAATTAGATTTTCTCCTTGGCTCAGGCAAACACAAATTGAGCTCCTGGTATCTCTCTCCTGCACTGGAGCTGGTGCCTGGCCGAGGCGGACGGCATCCTCCGTCGCATTAATATGCCGATGCTGTCTGGGGCTGGTGCACATCTCGGGACGGCGCAGTTTGCGGGGGCTTGCTTGTGGGAGGTTATTATTTTTAACACACACCCCTCCTCCCACCCCCATTTCGTGCGGATGGCATTTAACCTGGCAGGGAAATATCTTTGCCCATGGGGTTCAGCGTGGCTGGGTTGAGGGCTGCTGATGACGAAGCAGCCCAGGGTCCCCTGACCAGAAATCAGAAGCCGAGCTCGGGGCAGACGCTGCCGAACCCTCTCCCATTGCATTACCCGCTTCCCGCTGCTCTTGGGCCATTAATGTCACTTCTCAAGGGGTCCTTCTGGGTTTGGTTTTCTCCAAGTCGGCTGCCGGGCAGGGCACTGGGGACCGGCACTGGCCTCTCCTGCTGCTCGGTGGTGGCGTTTCCAGATCAGAGGGAAGGAAAATTGTTCATGCAAAGTTTGTTCGTTCCCCCAGGCATGAAGGGAAGCGCTGATTGTTCTCCAGCTATCTCAAGTCTTTTGCCAATTTCCAAAATTAAAAATCTTCCCTGTGTCTTGCAGATACATTTGGTGTTCGTACTTTGATTTTCAGCCTCGCTGTCCAGCAGATGTTTGATTTTCTTTTTATTATTATTTTTCTGTTGACCCCACCCTGGATTTGTCCTCCTGCCACGGTCTCGCCCTCTGTGTGTTTCTCCTAGGGAATACAGCATGGAATTTGCTGAAGGGATGCTTGCGTGGATGCTCGTACAGGGACCAGAAACCCCTCCTGGGGCTGGATCTGCCCTTCTTGGCCAACCTGGGATTTCATGGGGCAAGACGGGGCAAAGACCTTTTTAAACCGTCTGTCTGTCGTCGTCCCCCCCCCCGAGCCTGGCAGCTCGCAGCCCTTCCCGCCGCGTAGCCCGTTGTGCCGCTGGGGTATGGGATCCGCTCCCCGGGGCTTTATTGCTTCTCCTCTCCCAGCTGCTGCCTGAGGAGTGTGTTTGCCTGAGTCAATAGAAAGCTAATTAAGCTATTTATCTGGGAAAGGCAGCCACTCCTGGTAAGGACTGCTGTCAGGATGAAGGAGGAATGGGCACAGTGGCGAACTGGGGAAGGCGAGGGTGAGGGAAGGCTCTTGACAGCCCTCGGGAAGGGGGGGGGAAATATCTCTGCCGGGAGCAGCCCCAGGGCTGAGCGAGGCGGGTACCGTCTGCAGCATCCCAAAAAAGCTGCCAAGCCCTGGGCAGCCTCCCCGACTTCTACGCGTTGCCTGAAACAGCTCCTTGCTGCTGCTAGGATGACTAATAAAGTACTCTTTCCATCTGAGAAGTTGGTGTCTTTTTATATTAACGCCTGTCACACCCGGCCATAACGAAGGATGGCATTTCCTCCCGGGCGAGCAGAGCTGGACCACGGCTCGGTGCCACCCTGCACAGGGAACCCGGACCCTTCCCCGCCCCCAAACTCTCCTCTCTGGGCACGCCAGGCTTGCAGTTTGCAGAGCAGAGCTCTCTACTGAAGCAGGCTGCACTCTAACTTTGAATTAACTTTTCTTAGCGAAGCCCTGGGAGGTTTTTCTGAGGCTTGCAGTCTATTCTTTGGGGCTTTTATAAGCCTTTAGTAGCTTAAGATGCA